TAGCTGGGCCAGGGGCTGCACCTCTCTGAGCCTCAGTTTCCTCATCTTCTGAATGGGGAGAAGAGTCCAACAGAGATGTGGTGAGGGAGGGTCACATGAGACAGGGCTTATGAGAAGGCATCTGACAAAGTGTGTGTGAGTGGATGGATAGGTGAAGAAATGGCCAGATGGTGATAAAACTGTTCTCAATGCTTTATCAAGCTGCAACTAAAGCTGCTCTTGATGGAGAGTAAACTGTTCTTAATGATGCTCAAGCTGTTTTTGATGCTTATCAAGCTGTTCATGATTAAGAACTTGATGTCTTCTGTCTCCTATGCTGACTACAACCCTCTAGGCACATGGGATGCTGCTGAGGCTGCCTCTTAGAATAGCAGATGGTTTTGAGACTCCAGCTATTTCTGGAGTGGGAGGTTTCTGCCATCTCTGCATTCCCGAACACCCAGGTTTCTCTCCTCAGGAGTCCCCTGCTACCTCAAGAGCCGGAGCAGGCTCCACTTGAACATTTCCTGGCCCCTCTCCCAGTAAGACCATTTCCCCAGATTCGCTGTGGGCTGATGCCATTCTCACTCAGGCCGTCTTCCTAAGTCTCTTAATTCTCTATTACTCCACAGCGCCTCGTGGGTCCCTCAGTGTGCCTGGCACCCTGTAAATGCTCCCTAGCCTTGGATACAGGCTTCTGTTCAGGGGTGGCCCTCAAGTAGTCTGACCCCAGCCAGAACAGCTAGAAGGCTGGGAGCCAGGACCCCCTGAGTCCTTGGTTCCCCTGCTAGAGCCTGTTTGCCTGTTTTCATGGGAGAAGACTGGGTGCCCAGGAGCTCACATTTCCTCCCTCCCATTCCAGGCAGGTCTGGGGAGTCCTCTGTGGTGGTACCAGGGGCTCTCAGGGGCTGCTCTTACCTGAATCATAACCAGGAGGCTGATGGTGAATAGGAGGAAGAGGAAGCCCTTCATTTTGCAAGGATCTTGGTAGCAGCTTTTGGAGATGAGCACAGGGCTGTCTGCAGGCCCCTTTTGGCTTGGCTGCTTTTGAATCAGGGAGGCGGGGTGGAAGGAAGAGGAAGGACGGCCTGTTAGGTGTGATTGGGTGGGGTGCGGCTTCCTTCTACGGATCTCCAGGTTGAGGACAACAGCCCCTAGGTTCTAAGGCCCTGGCTGATGATGCATTCTAAATTGAGACCCAGCCAAATCCCAAGGGATGGGAGGTGGGCAAATCAGTGGGACAGTAAGTAGGGCCCTGGGCTTGGAGTAATGCCTACTGGAGATTGAATTTTTGTTTAATCACCTACCAACTCTGAGACACTAGGCCAGAAACCGTACCTCTGAGCCTTTGAAAAAAGGATGCAGTATAACTCATTTAAATGTGCCAACACATAGTAAATAGTATATAAATATATTTTAAGAGGTAGGGTACAGGAGCTGAAACAAAAAAGTTAAGGTTGTAGGTGGCTCCACAGGTTCGGAACATTAAGACTCGGGGGTGGGGGTGGGGTGGGATGGTAGATTCCCGTGAAAATGAAGGAGCACTGCATTAGAAATCCGGAAACCTAGCTTCTAGGTAGGTCCATTCCTTTGGGCCTCATATTTCTCATTTCAGCTGAGAAGACAAGTGAATTATTTCTGAAGTTTCTTAAAATCTAGCATTTCGTGATTCGAGTAAAAGCAGATCGGTTGTTTGTGTCAATTTAGGATGGATGGGAAGGGGGCTAGTGGAGGGACAATCAGGTGACTAAACTGCAGTGGAAGGTATTTGGGGCGGGGATGGCTGTGAAGTCCCAGCGAGGGGTGGGAGGATGAGGTGAATCACGAAGTTGCCTGGAGGGTACTCCATTCTCCATTCTTTGTACATTCTATTGTCTCAGTGGGGCTCTGCAATAGGTTTTATAGCTATCCCCATTTCCCTGATGAAGAAACTGAGGCTTAGATATCAAGTGGCTTTTCCAAGGTAATAAAATAAACGGTGGAACCAATCTCATTTGAACTTGAATCCAGGTCTGTTTGAAGCCACAGTACGTATGTAACCTCTGGGGCCTAGAAGCCACCAATTAAGTCTTGATTCCCTGCCCCTCTTCCTCCTGGAGGATCCAAGGATTGGCTCTGTAGCCTCACCCACTCTCCATTTCTTAGTCTTTTTTTTTTTGGTCTCATTTACATGCCAAATAGTAAAAGAAAACTCTCTCACTTCCCCTTCTATGGTTGTGGGCCTCCTGTTGCAAGCTTCCTACTTACCGTAAGCCTCAAAATACCTGAGCAGGCCACTGGGAGCCCCCAGCTCTGGCTAAAAAGAACTGAAATTCCGCTGGTGAGAAGCCAGGAAGAAGGAGGGGGCAGGAGTCTTGAGGCCCCTGAGGGTCGAGTAGGGAGGAAAGTAGGAGGAACTCTCAATTACTCACCATTGCCCAACCCCATCAGCTCCTTCACCAGATGTCTCTCCCGATCCTGACTCATCTCAGCCACCTTTGGTGTTCCTGTGGCGTGGGTGATTCTGAGGGTTCTTGAGAGTCAGGGAGGTAGCAGGTGCTGAAAGGGCACTGGCCCAGGAGGCCCATGTTGAAGTCCAAGACTGCTCTGCTGAAAATTTGCTTCATCACACTGGGCAGTCTTCTCCCCTCTGACTAAGAGGCAGCTGGACAGGCCAAGCCCTGGGGCCAGCTGGGTTGTATCTTCATGCTGCGGATGCGTGTGAGGATACTTAAATGCTAGGCTCGTACTTGTAAAACTTTTCTTACAAACCTCAGACATTTCATTTCCACATCCTGAGCCTCTGCTGTGGTCTGAGCCTGAGCTGCTCATGGTAGTGAGGTCTTGTGGGTGCTGGAAGGGTCGTTAAGGGCCATCAGGACTTGGGGCATGGATGGACATCTGGTGTCTGTCAGTACCTGATGGAAGTGGGGTTACACACCTTTTCCTCTCCTGCCCTCTGATCAATTTTATTCTGTCTTGACAACAACTAGAGAGACAGAACCGTGGTCAGAAAGCTTAAAGAGAAACCCTCATTCTACAGATGGGAAAACTGTTACAAAGGGACCAAGAAGGGCAGGTTAATGGCAGAGCTGGAGATAGAACCTAGTCTGTCTCTCGACTTCAGTGTCCTACTGTACACCTTCTCCGGACCTGACTATGGAGCTTTTATTAGCAAGATGGGAAATCTCAGCCCACATCTCTTATAACTGTCCCCAGGGATCAAGACCAACCTCCTTAGTGTGACATATAAGGCCCCTGCCTTCCTTCCAGTCTCATGTTTTGAGTTCCATAACATCCCTCTCCCACACCCTAGTCCTTCAGCCACACCCAACTTGCATCTCAGCTGGTGCTCTAGGCTCTTTTACACCCCATGTGTTATCTCTCCAAGGAAAGCCATTTCCAGTTATTTTATCTGGCAAACTATTTGTTCTTCAAGACATAGCTCAGAAGGTCCCTCTTCCCCTGGGAAACTTTCCACTTCCCCTAGGAAACTCCTTCAAAAAGAGAGAGTTCTTTAGTGTTCCAAGAGCTCCTTTCGTTGACCTTTGCTCTAAAGATTGTGTCTGGTCCCTTGAGGGGATACTAGGTCTTGTCACCTCTACAACCCAGCATAGCACAGAACATGGCATAAGAGTAGGGACAGTTGAATGAATGAGTGAATATAAGGCAACTACTCCCACCTCCATGCCTGTATTCATTCAGTCAGTGAGTATGTAAATGGGGCAACAGCAGACTTAAGTATTGGGGAGTTACCAATGCAGAATATAATTAAGGGGAAGAGAGAGGTGAGCCCTTCATTTGCGGTTGCTTTTCCTCTAAAAGTCTTTGCTGCTTCCAGAAGAGACAGCTGAGAAATAGAGCTTTCTACAAAGAAAAATCTATAGTTCAAGACCCGCTAAGAAAAAAGGGCCATGGTAAACGGCCCCACCAATCCAGGCCTTGGGTTGGGACCATGAAAGGTTACACCTGAGAAGTAAGTGAACAGGAAACAACATCCTAGCCCTTACAGAAATTGAGGACAATATGACAAATACATACATATGTACATACGTACATACGTACACACACACACACACATATACATACATACATATACATACATGAGAGAAGCAACAGATAATAGAAACAGTAACACAGAAGATCCAGATAATCAAATTATCAACCAAACTCTCAAATAACAATGCTTAGTATATTTAAAACATATAAGGCAAGATCGAGAACTCGAAATTATAGAAAAGATTCAAATAGAAATTTGTGAACTTAAAAATACAAGAATAGAAAAGTCAAAGCGGGACAGTCAAAGGAAAATGTTCCCATTAGGAGAGGCTTGAATATACCAAAGAGTATGATAGTTTCTGGAACATTGAGAACGGTAGAGGGCAGGACTCAATATGAAGGCCCTATATGTCATGCTAAACAAGGGCTTGATCCAAGGCTGTGGTGATGTGGGTGGGAAAGAGCTAGGCATTTATTCTGAGGGAAAGCTTGCCTTTAGAGGACCTCTCTCTATTTTTTACCTTTCCCTCCAGTGGCCCTCACCCCAGATGTCCAGAGGGAATCCTGGATGCGCTTGGAAGCTGAACAGATTGGCCTCCAATGTCCTCTCAACACTGAAATCTTACGTGAGCCTGAGACCTAGGAAAGATTTCCAGACCCCTTTGAAATGGGGGATAGAGAAATATAGTTCAGAAAAATAAATATTGGATGAGCTTAGGCTATTGCTGTGTTTTCATAACTTTGTTTTTGGAAAACATTTTTTAAAAGATAATAATGTGACAATGTTACGAAAAACTTAATTTGCACAATAATCCTGTGAGGTAGATTCTATTAGGATCTCTATTTTATAGCTGTGAAAACTGAGGCTCAGATGAATAAAGTAGCTTGAGCAAGAACAGCCAGCTAGTTAAGTGACAGAGCCTGGTCTCATAGATTTGTTAAGTTATGCTGATCGATAATATATTCTCAAACGATAGCTATTGTTATTTTCCAAGTTTCTATAATGAAAATGTATACTTTTGTAATAAGTCTCTGACTTTCCCCAATAAATGTTATTTAAAAAATAATAAACTGGCCCGCCAGATTAGAGAGCTCCCATCTCCCTCACACAAACTTGGTGTTTGCCTGCTGCAGAATATCAGGCCAGGCTTTGGGCCCTGGGTAGGAGGAAGGCATATGGTAAATCCTGATGCCTGGGTAAATGCCAGTTCATGCTTCCCAGTCTCGCTGAGGCAGGAGGCAGTGGGCAGACCACAGCAGGTCTCAGGAAGCCAGAGTCCCCTGCCTCCCATGTTGTTGGGCCTTGCTAAAGGAACATGACCAAGGTGACGGTATGAGGTTGCTAATCCCCTGGTCATGGCCTCGACACCCCAAAACCAGTTGGCCCCAGTATGACCTTTCTCATCTCATATACCTCAAGCTTCAGAGAACTTTCTGACAGCAGCTCAGTGGCAAGAGAGCTCTCCCACCTCCAACTTCCAGTCATGCTTTCCACCTGAACCCCTCCCTTGGCACCTGCGACTTGGCTTTGCCTGCCTGTTTTACTAAAATGGATGCTTTCAGAAAGAGCACAGACTCCAGAGGCAGGCAGTTTTGGGTTCTAATCCGCTTCTGCTTTTTACCTGAGCAGTCTTGGGCAAGTCACTTTACTTCTCCGAGCTTCAATTTTCTCATATGTAAACCTCATAATATTGGCACCCAGCATTTGGAAGGCACTCATTAATTGGTAGCACCCTTTGGCCTCCAACTGAATGCAGAAAGTCAAATGGAAAATATTAAAAAGTGCTGTCTGAGACATGCAGAGAAAGGGCCTTGGTGGTTGAACCCAGGCATAAAGAAGTGGTTGTCTGAGATCAGAAGACATAGACTCCCAGACTATCACAGCTGGAAGGCTGAGGGATAATGCTAATGACAGTTAAAAGCAGGAAATGTTTCTGAAAACATACTCTGTGTGAGTGTTGGGACAGGTACTTTGCATATATTACCTCATTTAATCTTCACAGCAACCCTGTGAGGTGGGTATTATTTCCATTTTACAGATGAAGAAGCTAAGGTGAAAAATTTGCCCAAGGGCACACAAATCAGGAGCCAGTACTCCTGAAGCCAAAATCCATGCTCTTAACTAAACTGCCTAGTTGCTCTAATCTAACACCTTAATTTTACAGATGAGGCTCAGGGAGGGGAAGGAATTTTTAGACAAAAGAACTAGAATTTGAGCGTCCCTTCAGAGAGTCATCCATCCTGTCAAGAAGTTAGAGAAATTCCGATTTAAGAAATATTTATTAAGTATTTTCATCATTTCAATTCATGCTCAAAACAGCCCCACCCAAGTATTGTACTGATCAGATGGGGAAACAAGCTCAGGGGGATAAGTAATTTTCCCCAAAATCAATTTAGCAAAACAGTGGGACTATCGGGATTACACATTCAGGTCTGCAGGCTTCCAGCGTTTCATGAATCTAACCCCAGGTTCTTCGCTTTCTGCGCCTCGGGGTGGTATTAATGAACCCTCCATTTCCTCAGACCCTGAGTACTCTCAGAGCGATGGATTCTGGGACTTAGAGTATCCCGGGAAGAGTTCAGACTCTCTTGGCCAATAGAATCCGAGCACAGACGCCTCCGCTGCCTACTGGTTGCTCCGGGGCGCGAATTAGCCAATGAGAAGCGCATAGGTTTTGGTCGCCTGGGAAACCGCGTGACAACAAGATGGCGGTGCTGCGGGACGGCTACAAGGCCCTGCGTGGTGAGTCGGAAACCGAGGCCTTTCTGCCCGCGGAGTCCCCTACACTGGCTGGGGCCTCGCCCCGAGAGCCCAGCGGACCCGTGTCCCGGCTCCCCAGCAGGCCCGCCGTGTCCTGGGAACTGATTCGGGCCCCTGCCTACCATGGCTACGCATGGAGGCGGGAGGGGGCGACGCGGCTCCCAGGGCGGGGATTGGTGGTGAAAGAAGTCGCGCAGTGAACGCTTCCAGCTGGGGATCTAGGGAATGAAAGTGTGCAGCCTGCCGGCCCCTGTAGGCGCTAGAGAGCAGTCTGACCTGGGGGAAGCGAATATGTCAAGGAGGTGTGACGAAGGATGTTGTCAGTCAAGCACAGTCCTGACTTGGGTCCCAAAGGCGTAGAAGGACACAGCTTTCCCCGCACAACCGAGTATGAAGGGGAAGACAATCCAACTTTTAGGCGTCTCTGGCCTGAGGGAGAAGGCAATTTGCCTCTGCAAGCCCCCAAAGTGAAGGGAGCAAATATGGCTCTGTCCTGAGGAAACCCCTGTCTGAGGGAATAGAAGACACAGCCCGGCACGCTCAGGAGTCCCCAGACTGATGGAAAAATACAGTCGTAGCCCTCAGGGGTCTCCGATGATACATGGGAAAATTGATCAGGAGACAGTGTGTTTTGGATTGGCCTGGAGTTAGACTAGAAGAAATAAAGTCAATTGCGGGACATTGTGACAGCCTCAAAGGGCAGTGAGAGCCCCCTAGGATGGCTAACAGTGGTCATAGAAAGGAGAAGCTATGTGTGAGAGACTTTACAGAGTTTAACCTGCAGGGTTTGGTAACTAATGGAATTAAGAGGGAAGGACGGAGAGAAAATTTTTGTGGTGGATGATGGGGTCCCATTAAGAACCGGGAAGTAGGAGGAGCTTATTTTAAGGGCAGATGTTGAGTTGGGGGCCAGGTCCTTTTTCTTTTTCTATGATAGTTTTATTGAGATATAATTCACATACTATATACTTCACCTCTTTAAAATATAAATTTCGAGTTTTTAGTATATTCATGGAGTTATACAACCATCACCACAATCAATTTTAGAACATTTTTATCAGGCTAAAAAGACACCTTAGCAATTACTGCTTCCTCGCCCCATTTACTCCTCAGCTGCCCCCAGCCCTAGGCAACCACTAATCTACTTTGTGTCTATAAATTTGCCCATTCTGGACATTTCATGTGGATGGAATCATAACAACATGTGGTCTTTTATGACTGACTTCTTTCCCTCAGCATAATGTTTTTCAGATCCATTCACACTGTAGCATGTATTTCATTCCTTTTTTATTGCCAAACAATCTTCCATTATAAGGATATAGCACACTTGTTTATTCATTGGTTGATGGACATTTGGGTTGTTTCCGCCTTTTGGCTACTGTGAATAATGCTGCTATGAACATGTGTACAAGTTTTCGTGTGGCCGTGAGTTTTCGTTTCTCTTGGGTATATACCTAGTAGTGGAATTGCTAGGCCATAAGGTAATCGTTTGTGTTTAAACTTCTGTTGAACAGCCAGACTGTTTTCCACAGCACCATTTTACAGTCCAACAAAGGTTCCGGTTTCCCCACATCCTCACCAACACTTGTTAATTTCTGTCTTTTTGACCATTTTCTTTTGAGGGGTCATTATGGCAATGAGACTTGGAAGAAGGAAGGGATAATCAGGTCTGGTGGGAATTTATGCAGGACAGTTTTAGCCACTAAAGACACAGTGCCTGGGGCTTTTTAGCGTGATGAAAATGTTGTAAAATTGATTGTGGTGATGGTTTCACAACTCTGTGATATTCACCATGGTAACTATGTCTCAATAAAGCTGTTTTTTTTTTTTTTTGAAGTTCACATACTGTATGATTTCATTTATATAACCTTCTTGAATTAAGAAAATTATAGAGATGGAAAACAGAGTAGTGGTTGCCAGGGGTTAGGGATGATGGAGAGAGGATCATGGGCGAGACTATAAAGGAGTAGCATAAGGGAGATGTAAATGGTGACAGAACAGTTCTGTATCTTGACTGCAGTGATGGTTACACAAATGTACCCATGGGATGATATGGCATGGAAGGATACACACATATAATTATGTAAAATGTAACTATTGTGGGAAACTAGGTGAAAGATACAGAAGACCTCTCTACTGTTTTCCTAAGCTCTTGTGAATCTATAATAATTTTAAAGTAAAAATTAAAATATAACTAAAGAACAAACAGAAACAAACTGAAAAAAGTTAGAGGGAATTAGCCCAGCCAAAGGAAAGGTGTAGTTAGGAGTGGGAGACCATTCCTGGAGGGAGTTCCAAGCAGGGAGCCATGTGCACAAAGGCCTGGTGCCTTTGAGGCCAGGCTGGCAGTTCAGAGTGGCTCAGATGTGGGAGGGGAGAGGAAGGATGAGGTCAGGAGACATGGGCAGAGACCAGATAGATCATCCATTTTAAGGAATTGTGAATGTTTTTCTGTGAGAAGGAACCACTGGGAGCTCTTAGTAGGGAAATGACATGTCAGTTTTGTGTTTAAGAAGATCCCTCTGGCATAAGATGGAGATTGATCGAGGGAATGACAGAGGCTTTTACACTTGGCCACACAAACCATGAGAATGTCCGGACAAGACAGCAGGGGTTGGGGCAGGCTGGGGCAGATGTGGGAGGCTGGATGGTCCGGGCAGGGAAACTCTGGGCCTGGTTCTTGGAGGGCTTCTGTGAGAAAGGGGCTGAGCATGAATCTTAAACTCCAGAATGAAGTCAGAGGAGGCTGCCTCCAGGCGGCACAGGTCCCCTTGCTGGGCAGTTTCAAGAGCAGGGTAGGGCCGGCCAGTGCCACACATTTCCAAAGTAGTTCTAGGATTTCTAGATACCAGCCATATAATATACTACTACTTAATTCACTGAATAGAGTAGTGCCCTTTAATTACGTCCCTGATGTGCATTCATCTTTCCAAAAGGAAGCAGTAAAGGAGGGAAACCAAGATTAATGAGTGCCCCTCCATGTTCCAATAACAATAAAAGCAACAACAGCCATAATTCACATTTGTAAGTGCTTCCTTTGAGTGCAGTGCTGTGCTAAGTGCTTTATGTATGTTATCTCTGAACCTCTTGGGTAACCCTACCTACCCGGTACTATTACCATACCCACTTTACACTAAAGGAAACTGAGGCGCAGGTTACACTGGTGGATGTAGAACCTGTCCAGAGCCTGGACTCTTGACCTCCCTGCCATGCAGACCATGTCTTGGTAGAATTCTGCACTCAGATTGCCCCTCCCCGACTCTGAGATGTTGCAGTGGCACCTGAGTTCTGGTAGGAGGGGAGGGGACACCTGGGCTTTGTGTCAACCAGTTCCTTGATGGATGGACAAAAGCCCCATGCCTCCTAGGTAGTCTCATGCCTGGGCTCTAAGTTTGGGGAAGTTCCAGGCTTCTGGCCCATCTCTGCACCCCAACCTACCCCCATTGCCTGTTCCCAGGCACAACCAGGACAGAGGCCTCCAGGATTAGAGCAGAGAATGGTATATCAGAGGAACAGGCAGATATTGGACACAGGGATCCTGAGGCCTAGCTCCCTCCAGAAACCTCAGCAAGGGCAGAGGGAAGCAGTGAGGGTGCTGCTCCCTGGACAGTCTTCCCTCAGGGGAAAGTAACCATGGAAGAGAAAGTTTCAGGCCACTTTCTGGTCCTGAGTGAATGGACCCAAGGGCTCACTTTTTTCTTTTTACTCAGGGAGTTCCTGACAGCTAGAATCTGGAAGGAGAACTATGAGCTCACCTTTGGCTTCCCTTGGCAAGACTCGGAGAGTGCCTCTGCAATCGGAGCCTGTGAATACAAGGTAAGGGGCTGGCCTCTGGGGCCCTTGTGTCCATGCCCCTGCCTCCTTCTGGCTCCTCCTGTGGACTAGGAGAATGACTCCTAGTGTCTTGGGGAGAACAATAAGGAGTCACGTAGCTTTCCCTGCCACCTTATCTTTATACCTTCTAGGAGGCTCTACGTTGTGTCAAGGACACGCTGGGTTGTACCCTCTAGTAGGGTGTGGGCCCCATGGGAGTGGCTCAGCACCCATCTACTTATTAATTTGCATGAATTCTGCCAACGCTGTTGGTGCACCTGTCCTGGGCCCAGCCACGTTCTGGGCTTTAAGTAGAGGGAATCCTTTACGTCTGTCTTTCATCTTTTCAAAGCATTTTTTACCTCCCTGCTTGCTCTTCTGATTACTACTTGAGTCATTTGTAGGCCAAAGAGATCCAGAGAGGTTGAGCCACAGGCCTGGGGTCCCACAGTCATTTCAAAGCAGAGTTGGGGCTGGGCTACTGGACCTGGGGACTTTTGTCATCTTCTACCCAAGACTCTGCCCTCCAGCTCTTCCCCATCCTTCTCTGTTGGGAGGAGTTGGGCACCCTGAAGCCTGCCCCTTGGCTTGTCCCAGGGCCGGGATGGGATTTGAGGATGGATGTCCTCAGGAGGCAGAGGCCTAACCTCCATCGCCTTAAGGCTCCCTGGGGCTTGCTGCCCAGAGAGTCTCCCCTGATGACACTCCAGAGGGTCCTAACCTGTCTGTCTTCCTTCTCCTTCCTGCCCGGCTTCCCAGGAGGCGAGAGATAAAACTCTATGGAGACGGTAAGTGTGGGCTCTGCCCTTGTGTCCGCCTCACCTCCCATCCGCCACGTCTCCTTGTGGGTGGGCAGAGAAAGAGCACAATGACCACCCCTGTCAGCCAGAGCAGCTGGTGCAATGCCAGTGTTACCTACAGCTGTCCCACCCCCCACTGAGGATGGGGCTTCCTCCTGGCAGCTGTCAGATCAGGAGGCCCCACATCCCTAGTGGCTATGTCATCACTAACATTTGGGGTTGCCCA